CGGGAGGCTGTGGCTTCGTTCCCTAGAATTATGATTCCTAGAACTGGAGGGGACTGGTCAGCTATTCCAATGAACTTGTTGCTAGCCTGGTCACCTGCTGCCCCTAGCCCATGAGATGCTGTCTCCTGTGCTCACCACAATGCCACGTGCCGTCTTTTGGGGTCTTCTTTGATCCAGACCACCCTGCACCTCCCATCTCTTTGTGGAGCAGGCCCTGGGCCTTAGCAGAGGGTCTGTGGAAAAGGCTTCTAGGACAACTGTCAACATAGTCACTAGAAAGCAGCTTTAAAAATATAAATAGTTGCAGGAGAGATTGTGGTCAGAGCTACCAAAGTGCAGTCAATCCAGCTTCTCTCCCCTGAAAACTGATTTCTGAGAAACAGTCTCACATTGAGCAGCAGAGGTGGCTCCAAGTCTGAGCAGGACATGGACCCTGTGGTGGATGAAGACCGTGCCTGACTTTCCAGCAGAAAACCAATTTCATAGCAAAATTAGGCCATTTTGAACATGCAATTGGTACTTAATATACATTTTTAAAAATCAGATTTATTCTTGCTTTAGCTGTTTGATTTTCTTGGGTGATGGAAACATAAAATTACGATCATACTAAAATCCATTTCTTTCACTGGTTTTTAGAATGAAATAAGCTTTACACTTAAAGCCATTCTTTTCTCTCTGTTAAAACATTGATTCCAGCTGGGTCTACCTTGGGACTACAGATTGTAGGTTAATTACTATTTTAGCTCAACATTTATTATAGGCAAGAAGCACAAATGGATAATGACTGTATTTTAGATAAAATCAAGTGCTCAGACCTTTTAGTTCTTTTTCCTGCCTTGCTACTTTAACAAATGCCACCTCTTATTTTTTTTATTTTTTTAGTTTTATATATTTTTACATCATTTTTCATTTTTGCACAATGTATGCATTTTCATCTTGGTTATAGTCCCCATATAATTCCCACCCCCCCTTGTTTTGATCCTACTCCCTCCACTCCCCGTAATGTGGCTCTGGTTTATAGTTGCTTGTTGATTTTGATTTTATTGTAATTAGTCTTTTTCCTGGTCCCTTATTTAGGTTTTCTAGATTCCTGCTATGAGTGAGACCATCCGGTATTTTTCTTTTTCTTTCTGGCTTATTTCGCTGAGCATGATCCCTTCCAGCGCCATCCATGTTGCTGCAAATTGCATGTGTTTATCTTTTTTTTTTTTTTTTAATTTTTTTTTAAATTTTTTTTTTATAGAGGCATGTTTTCTTCCTTCCTTCCTTCCTTCCTTCCTTCCTTCCTTCCTTCTTCTTCCTTCCTTCCTTCTTCTTCCTTCCTTCCTTCCTTCTTCCTTCCTTCCTTCCTTCCTTCCTTCCTTCCTTCCTTCCTTCCTTCCTTCCTTCCTTCCTTCCTTCTTCCTTCCTTCCTTCCTTCCTTCCTTCCTTCCTTCCTTCCTTCCTTCCTTCCTTCCTTCCTTCCTTCCTTCCTTCCTTCCTTCCTTCCTTCCTTCCTTCCTTCCTTCCTTCCTTTTCCTTCCTTCCTTCCTTCCTTCCTTCTTTCCTTCCTTCCTTCCTTCCTTCCTTCCTTCCTTCTTCCTTCCTTCCTTCCTTCCTTCCTTCCTTCCTTCCTTCCTTCCTTCCTTCCTTCCTTCCTTCCTTCCTTCCTTCCTTCCTTCCTTCCTTCCTTCCTTCCTTCCTTCCTTCCTTCCTTCCTTCCTTCCTTCCTTCCTTCCTTCCTTCCTTCCTTCCTTCCTTCCTTCCTTCCTTCCTTCCTTCCTTCCTTCCTTCCTTCCTTCCTTCCTTCCTTCCTTCCTTCCGTACAGTCAGAAGCGGGGGAGGGTGAGAGAATTCACCAGAGCCAGAGCGGGGAGCAGAGCAGGCAGAAGGACCGAAGTATACTGCTGAGGGGAGCAGCGGGCGGCAGGAGAGGTCTGCGCGCCATGCGGGACCCTCCTCCGGTGGCCGGGAGCAGTTGGGGATCGAACCGGCGCCGCAGAGGCCGCGGGCAGCTTCGCAACCCAGCGCTCAACCGCTGCGCCACAGGGGAGGCCCTGTTTATCTTTTTTGAATGCTGAGTAATATTCCATGGTGTATATGTACCACATCTTCTTGATCCAGTCATCTATTTTTGGGCATTTGGGTTGATTTCAAAGCTTAGCCATTGTAAATAGTGCTGCTATAAACCTAGGGCCCCCCCTTATTTTTCACATGCTTTGACTGTCAGCTTGTGAAGAGAAAATGTGGTCTTGCATGTGTGGGTTTCACCTGCTCTTTTACTGTCTTACATTGATCTCCTCTTGCCCTCCCAACACCCTTTGTGTATCTCGCTCTGTTTACTTTGAAGAAAAGTTCTTCTTTAACTCTTTTCTGCATATGTTCTGAAGGTATGAGGCGGCATGAGTGCTTTCCTTTCTCGCATTTCTTCCTTGGAGAAGACAAGATTTCACATATGACGTTGATGAGCCCATCTTCACTATAAAATTTAGCTACACAAATACTTACGAGGCATTGTCGTGCCAGGAAGGCACAGAGCAGGATCTCTATGACCCGAGCAGATGGGTAAAGGAGTCCTGGAGCCCTCGGTGGCCTTTTGAGGCTTATTGTTGGGATTTTACCAAGTAGACGGCAGGCAGGGGTGGTGGGAGGCCAGGAGGCTGGCAGGCTTCCCACCCCACCAACGAATCTTCACTTTTTTTTTGTGGGACCCTCGCTGGTGGCTGGGAAATGAACTGGCGCTGCAGAGGCTGCGAGCAGCCTTGCAGCCCAGCGCTCAACCGTTGCGCCACTGGGGGAGGCCCCAAATCTTCACTCTTTACTAGGCTCTCTGGCATTCTCTTGTGGCCTCTCCTTCTCTGCTGGTTCTGTTCTCCTTCTGGTCGTTCTCTCTCGCTTGTTCTTCTGGTCGTTTTGTTCCTCTGGTGTCCTGCGATGCTGCTCTTATGAGCCCAGTCTTTCAGCCCAGGTGAACCCATCTACACGGGCCCACACCCTACTCCAGGTGCCCGCCATGAGGCATGCATTGAGGACCGCAGGGATCCATCATCAATCCAAATGGTGGGAGGGCAGAAAAGCCTGACAATCATTTACCCTCCACCAAACCAAAACAAAACAGTTCTTCAAATCTGACTGAAGAACTAAGGCTGCTAGGGCCTCCCTGGTGGCGCAAGGGGTTAAGCACAGTACTGTGAAGTCATCCACAGCCTCTGCAGCACCAGTTTGATTCCTGGCCTGCCAGGGAGCTGACCCACGAGGCACAGCAGACCTCTCCTGTCTCACCTGCTGCTCGCCTCAGCAGTGTACTTCAGTCAATCTGCCTGTTCTGTTCTCCATTCTGTCTCTGGTGAATCCTCTCATTCCCCACACCTATGGCCTGTACCCCAATTCTTGTATGCATAAATAAATAAACCTTTTTTTAAAAAGATTTATTTATACAAGAACTGAGGTACAGGCCAGATGCGCAGGAGGGTGAGAGTATTCACCAGAGACAGAGAGGGGAACAGAACAGGCAGACTGACGAAGTACACTGCTGAGGGGAGCAGCTGGCATGACAGAAGAGGTCTGTGCGCCATGTAGGACCCTCGCCGGCCGGCCAGGATTGAACAGGTGCTGCAGAGGCTGAGGACAGCTTCACAGTGCCGCGCTCAACCGCCTGTGCCACCAGGGTAGGCCCTAAGTAAACCTTTTAAAAAAAAAAAAAAAAAGAAGAAGAAGGAAGGCTACTAGAAGGGGATGTTGGGTGGAAAGCAAAGGGGTCAGACAATGGACTATGGAGGATTCTGGGCACCTTGGACCTGGTTGTGGTGTAGTGACATCCATCAAAGATGTGTGTATCCATGTCCCTAAAACATACAAAGTGTTGTAGACCACTATTATCTCAAAAATAATATATATATAATGAATAATGTAAGTGTCCTATTGAAAGATATAGAGGCAAATATCAAAAGAATCAGTAAAAAGAAGTCTCTGGTGCTGAGACGTGAAGGAAGGGGACTGGGAACTGTTTTTCCCAACGGATCTTACTGGACTATCAGACTTTTGAAATTTTGAGAGAAAAAAGCAAGAAAAGAAAGTTGGTCATAAGAAAGTTAATAGTCCTGTAATTTTCGTGGACAGCCTTATTTTAAGTATGTTAGGACTGAGTGGACATCATGGCAGGGTCAATGCAATTCGGGTCCAGGAGACCGCGTTGTGGCCAAGGGCGACGCAGCCTCTCATTTCCCACAGCGCTTCTCCCTCGCGCAGGGCGGGTTGCACGTTAGCTCCGCCTGGGGCACCTTCAGCACGTGCTGGGGTCAGGCCCCGCTGGAGCCGCTCAATTGAATCTCCAGAGTTGGCAGAGGCATCTCGAAGCAGTTTTAAAAAATGCTTCTGTCGGGCCTCCCCTGGTGGCGCGGCGGCTGAGCGCTGGGCTGTGAGGCTGCCCGCAGCCTCTTGTTTGTTTGTTCCCCAGCTGCTGGCAAGGGTCCCCCCCCCCCAAAAAAAAGCTTCTGTTGATCTGTTGATTCTGCCAGTATCACGACAACTGATGGAAACCGGGACCCCGCAGCGCGCAAGCTGTGCAGCAAGACTGGCTCTTTGCCACCGCCACCTAAGCAGGAGCAGGTTTCGCCCTCGCTGGAGTTGCCCCCTTGGGGCAGCCCCTCTCCCACTGCTGGGCCCCAGAAGTGCTTGGGGCAGTGCAAGCGGGGACCACCACCGGGGCACCCCTCTACGGGGGCTCAGGCTGCAGGCAGAGGCCAGCAGTCATGGTGGATGGCAGAGGTTTCCTAGCAGCAGCCCCAGGGCATGCAGCCCCGAGTTCAGGGCTGCGGGAGGTGCATGGGACCCCACGGGCCAGCTCCAGCGCTGGGGCTCCTGCCAGCTGGTGCAGTCTGGGTCTGTAGCTGGCTCCTGGAGAGTGGGATGACTCACCAGGTGCAGGCTGTGAGCTGATTGGTGCTGCGGGCCAATCATCCAGGGCATTGAAAAGGGCCCAATCAGACTGTGAGGTGGAGGCCCTGAAGGAGGATGTGAGGCAGGGCAGGCCTGCTGGGGACTGATGGTCCCTGTTCCTGGTCTCCAAGAAAGAATATAGACTGTGTTCCAGATGGCTAAAGAAGAAAGAAGCAGCATCCAACCGCAGACCTCTTAATTAAGAAGAGAAGCTAAACAGCATCGCAGAGAAACCAAAGAGCTTTGTGGCGGCCCGGCCGCCTGCACCTGCCTCTGGCATTGCCTGAAAGGAGCACGAAAGGCCCCTGGCCTGGTGTCTGGGAGTTGTCTGTTGTTGGGGTGCGCCAGCAACTTGCAAAGAGCTGTAACGCTGGTGTTTCTTACACCGGGACACCTAGTGGCTGTTGCTGACCTGCACTACTGGCCAGTGCTGCCCAGCACCATTGACGGTGGCCAGCAGTCTGTGTCCGCGTCACCTCTGAGAGCTGTTAACTGCTCCTGACTGTCCACCTCCCGCTGCTGCTGCCTCCTTGCTGTCTGGGCCATCCGGACCTTGAGACTGTGGCTGTGGGCTGTGGTGGCATCTCAGCGGCCCCGCCTGCGAGCACCCCCAGCTGCAGTGAGTTGGGGCCCGGCCCCGCTGCTTGCTGGTGAGCCACAAGCCCCAGGCCCTCGCTGACGGGACAGCGCCATCTTGAAGGAGCCGCCTTTTGTTTGGGATGTGTGGACACTGTGGACGCTCTCTGGGGTGAGATACTCGGCCACTTGTGGCCTTGAGAACTCTTGCTTCCCCTGTTTGTTCAGTAAGCCCCAATGTTGCTCCCTGAGCCTGAGGGATCGTGCAGTTGTGTGCATGGGGGAAAAGCCCACAGACAGTGACCTGTCCTCTACCAGCTGTAGCCTCTCCTAGAGCTCTGTGTCCGTACTCTTTCATAATGACAACCTAAAGAATGTATGTTAAAATTTACTATTTCCTTTAAATGCAGTTCATAGGACACTTAAAGAATGGCACAGAATCTAATAAAAAGCCCACTTGCAAGTGGAGGACGCCATGTGGAAGACACAACGGAGGCTGACTTGCAGACCCAGCACAAAGGTGGGACGGAAAGAGCTATTGAGGCTGCCTGGAGAAACACAGGTCAGTGTCACTGCAGTCCTAGAGCCGGGAGAGCAGCGGCCTCTGGGCATAGGCTGGGTTTGCAGGGTGCAGAACACGAACTTAATGACATTATCCTTTCTTTTGGCATTTTCAACATTGAAGGCAGGATGGTTTCCTTTTTCATCAGGTGACAGGGCACAAGTTAGCCAGTGACCCCCGAAAACACAAGCACATAGAACCAAGCCTTCAAAATGTCTGTTCTAGCAGGTGATAAATGCAAATTGAGGACCCTTTTACAAGCCTGTGTGTCTCTTTGGGTCCCCAGATAATTTTTTATTACCCTGGGGAGCAGGATTACTTCATAATTTATCAGGTCTGCACCCTATTTTTAAATGCACTCCAGAGACATGCATTAATTTAGCATCAACTCCTCCCCAACCCCAATGCTCTTTTTCATGGGATGTGTGGAAAACACTTGTAGCCAAGACCCCGCCAAGATATTCAGGGTTGTATCAGGAAGTCAAGTTCACTCTCATACAATGCAAGCGATAAGCAGTGGCTTCAGTGGGTTTCAGCAATCGAGTTTCAGGAGTTGTGGGTGCTCTTTTTTGAGGCACAGGATAGAAACTGGCTTGTAAGCAAAACAGGAAATCCCACCTCCCTGAAACAAACATCCTGCTTCCCACAGGTGTTGCTAGCTCTCTCTCAGGCTAGAATTAGGAAGGGGAAATAGGTGTGTTCTAAGTGGTTTGTGCATGTTATCACTGCGCTTTGCTGGCTGTATCCGGAAGCCTTGGGCCTCCGTGGTTAAACATTGGCAACATTATGCTAAATGAAAGAAGCCAGACACAAATAGCCATTTATTGTGCACATTTCATATCAATGAAATTATACAATAGGCAAAGCCATAGAGACAGAAAGTAGATGACTTGTTGCTAGGGATTGGGTGAGGAGGCATTAGGAGTGACTGCTTAATGGTTCTGGGGTTTCTTTTTGGGGATGGACATATCTGCAACTAGATAATGGTGATAATTGTACAACTGGTGAATTTTATCTAAAAACTGTAAAGGGCCTCCCTGGTAGCGTAGGCGGTTGAGTGCCTCACTGTGAAGCTGTCTGCAGCCTCTGCAGTGTGCGTTTGATCCTGGCTGGTCGGTGAGAATCCCACATGGCGAAGCAGACCTCTCCTGTCTCGCCCGCTACTTCCTTCAGCAGTGTATTTTGTCAGTCTGCCTGTTCTGTTCCCCACTCTGTCTCCGGTGAATCCTCTCACCCTCCCACACATCTGGCCTGTACCCTGGTTCTTGTATAAAAATAAATAAATATTTAAAAACAAAACAAAACTGTAAAATGTTGTGAAAGAAAAAACACTCGAGATAAATTTTTAAAAGTTGCTGTAAAACTAATGCCCTGAAAAATTTGTTTCAGTAATATTTTTAATTTCCAAAAACTTTTACCACACGAAGATTTTATTTAATATTTGTTAATTGAGGCCTCCCTGGTGGTGCAGCGGGTTGAGCACAGTGCTGTGAGGCTGTCCATGGCCTCTGCAGGACAGGTTCGATTCCCGGCTGGCCAGGGAGCTACCCACATGGCGTGGCAGACCTCTCCTGTCTCGCCCGCTGCTCCCCTCAGCAGTGTACTTTTGTCCTTCTGCCTTTTCTGCTCCCTGCTCTGTCTCTGGTGAATTCTATCACCCTCCCATGCCACTGGCCTGTACCCCAGTGCTTGTATAAATAAATCTTTTTTAAAAATTTGTTAATTGAGACAACATTGGTTTACAACACTGTCTAGGATTGAGAGGCATAGGATCAACCTCCTCAGATGTCACTACAGCACACCCACCACCAAGCTAGACATAGTCCTCCACCATGGTCCATTGGTTCCCCTCTCTGGTAGTTTCAATTTCATAGTCAGATTACTAGGGTTTGTTGTAGGTCTAGTTTTGATTCTCTATATTCCAGATGTAAATGAGACCATTAGTATTTGTCTTCTTAGGATAATCTTAGGCTTGTCTCAGGATAATCTCCTTCAAGTCCACCCATATATTCACAAATGTCAAGAGTTCATCTTTTTTCATAGCTGGGTAGTATTCCATTGTGTATATATAACACATCTCACAGGGAGATTTTTAAATTGCTGGAGATCCTTCCAAATCTGAGATATTAATGTTTAAAGTTTTATTCTAGGTTTTTTTCTTTGCTATTGCTTCTTTGCGAATGTTCTTCCAGCAATTAAGAATTTCATGATTTAGTGAAGGGGGGCTGAGGGGAAGGGTTTGTTCAAAGTTGTTGATGAGATTCTATACCAGTACTTTTTGAGGCTGTAAATTAAAATAATTTGTAGATACTGAACTTGGCATGTAAGCCAATTACATCAGAATTTCAGGGGAGGTGGGAGAGACCCTGGGCATTGGTGAAAAGCAACCCTAGGTAAGTCTATGTGCCACTGAAGTTAAGATGTACAATTATGTTTACAATTCTAGGTGAACTGATATGTTTACTACAGCAGAGAAGAAACTCCTTTTCTGGTAAGAACTCTTTTTTTTTTTTTTTTTTTTAAGATTTGTTTTATTTATACAAGAGCTGGGGTACAGGCCAGAGGCGCGGGAGAATGAGAGGATTCACTAGAGACAGAGTGGGGAACAGAACAGGCAGATTGTCTGAAATTCACTGCTGAGGGGAGCAGCGGGCGAGTCAGGAGAGGTCTGCCGCGCCATGTGGGTAGCTCCCTGGCCAGGGATCAAACTGGTGCTGCAGTGGCTGCAGTTAGCTTCATAGGTTGCGTCTTAATCCCTTGCACTACCAGGGAGGCCTGTCACACCTCACCTGTTATTCCTCTCTGTGGTGTATTTCCATAAATCCCCCTTTTCTGTTCTCAGATAAAAAAGTTTGAGTTGAGCATGTTTTACTAATTCAGTTTCCATTCAGTTTTAGATTAGACCAAATATAATAATAAAGGGAATTATCGCTTGATTTTTATTTACTAGTTCTGTTCTACATATACATAGATAACAGTTGAGATGCTTGATGTCTGTGGATAAATCAATTATGATACAAGGAAAAAATAGCCTGTCCTTATAGAACTGTATATTATAAAGAACATCCTTTACTTAAAATAGCCAGTCAAAATACTAATATCAATGTTGTTTGGGAGTTTTTTTTCCTTTGGCATTTTGAAGTGAATATTGTGTGTATGTGCGTGTGTGTGTGTGTAACCACCTTTGGAAGATACAGGGAAAAAATTAACAGCAACAGTCAAATTAATTCAGCGCCCTGGCTACTTCTACTTCTGGCTTTTCATGTGGCTATAACTAGGTTGGGTATATTTGCTCTACTATTTTAGATCTTTTGTTCATAAAAGTAAACTGTGCAGTTTGCTAAAACAATTAAATGACAGCTAATATAGTACTCATTTCCTCTGTGATGCATAATGTAATTTTATGTCTGACATGGAATTTACCCGAGCTAAAGGTTTTTTCCTTTTCTTAAATATTGTTCATTAAGTGATATATTACTTGATTAATACATAATGGGAATTAAGAGTGTTACAGACAATTGATGTCAGTTGGTATAAAAGAAATAATGATACAGCTTTAACAGATCATGCAATCTTATAAAAAGTAGCACTAGAAAAGACTGGCAATGAACAAAAATGTAAGTAGGAACCAATAAGAGTTCCTTTAGGGCCTCCCCCGGTGGTGCAGCGGTTGAACGCTGGGCTGCGAAGCTGCCTGCAGCCTCTGCAGCGCCGATTTGATCCCCGGCCACCTGCGAGGGTCTGCTGCTCCCCTCAGCAGTGTATTTCAGTCAATCTGCCTGTTCTGGTCCCCACTCTGTCTCTGGTGGATCCTCTCACCCCCCTCCCCCCACATCTCTGGCCTGTGCCCCAGCTTTTGTATGCATAAATAAATCTTTAAAAAAATTATAAGAGGGCCTCCCTGTGGCGCAGCGGTTGAGCGCTGGGTTGCGAAGCTGCCCACAGCCTCTGCAGCATGGGTTCGATCCCCGGCTGCTCCCCGGCCACCAGAGGAGGGTCCCACATGGCACGCAGACCTCTCCTGCCGCCCGCTGCTCCCCTCAGCAGTGTACTTCGGTCCTTCTGCCTGCTCTGCTCCCTGCTCTGGCTCTGGTGAATTCTCTCACCCTCCTGCGCTTCTGACTGTACCCAGTGCTTGTATAAATAAATAAATAAATAAATAAATAAATCTTTTAAAAAAAAATTATAAGATGTAAAGCGATTCCATGCATATTTTCATCTTCCCAATTTTTGAGGATCACCATTAATAAAAGTGCTAGGGTTTTGGTATATTTCAGTGTCTAGATTTTATAATAAATCTTTATATTTTTTTCTTCATTCTGGGGTCTGCATTTGTTGTTGCCAGTTTTTTTTTTTTTTTTTTTAAATATAGGCCATTCTCAATGGAGTGAGGTGATATCTCATTGTGGCTTTGATTTGCATTTCCCTGACTATAAGTGATGTTGAACATTTTTTCATATGCCTGTTGACCATTTGCATTTCTTTGGAGACGTGCCTTTTTAGCTCTTTTGTCCTTTTTTTAACAGTGCTGTTTGCTTTGTTTTTGTTGAGTTGTGTGAGTTCTTTGTAGATCTTTAAAATCAGCCCTTTATCAATTGTATGGAGTGTGAATATTTTCTCCCGATCAGTAGAGTCTCTTTGCTTTGATTATTGTCTTTCTTGCTGTACAGAGCTTTTTAATTTGATGTAATCTAGCTATTTATCTTTTCCTTCATTTTCTTTGCTTCTGGAGATGAGTCCTCAAAGATGTTTCTGAGGTGTATGTCATGGACAGTTTTGTCTGTTTGTTGTTTTTTTTTTTTAATATTTTAAGCTTTCAGGTCCATATTCAAGTCTTTTTTCCATTTTGTGTTGGTGTGAGGTAGTGGTCTAGTTTCATTCTTTTGCATATAAAAGGCCAGTTTTCCCAATACATTATATTGAAGAGACTATCCTTGTTCCATTGCATATTCTTTGCTCCTCTGTCATAGACTAGTTGATCATATGTGGCTTTCTTTCTGGGTTTCAATTCAATTCCATTAGTCTGTTCCTGTTTTTGTTCCAGTACCGTGCTGTTTTAATTATGGGTTTGTAGTGCAGTTTGAAGTCTGGGAGTGTAATACCTCCATTCTCTCTTTAGTCAGAAGAGCTTTGGCTATCTGAGGTTTGTTTTATGATTCCAGATGAATTTCATCAATATTTGTTCTATTTCTTTGAAGAATGGCATTGAGATTTTTATTGGAATTGTGTTGTCTGTAAATTGCTTTGGGTAGGATGGCCATTTAATAATGTTAATTCTTCCAATCCATGAACAGGGAATGTCGTTCCATTTCTTTGTGTCTATTTCTTTTAACAATGTTTTATAATTTTCTTTGTATAGGTTTTTCACTTCCTTGTATTGGTCTTTAACTTTCCTTTATTCCCAGGTATTGATTTTTTTTTTTTTTTGGTACAATTGAAAACGGGATGATTTCTTAATTTTTTCTTGCATATAGGAAGGCTTCTGATTTTTGTGTGTTGAATTTGTAAACTATTTTACTGAACTAGTTTATTTTAGTTAGTTTTTCTGTATTCAGGGTTCTCTCTATATTATCATTAGCAAATCATGATAGTTTTACTTTTCTCCCAATTTGGATTCCTTGTATGTCTTTCTCTTATTGCTTTAGCTAGGATTTCCAGTCATAGAAATGTTTTTGCTATCTAATTTATTCACTACTAATTAATGTGTTATTATATTGTAAAGAATAATTTATTCTCATGATTACCTTAATATTCTTTTCTTTTTTATATTTTTTAAAATTAAGTTTCTTACACGTCATTGATTTTTTTTTATTATTATTAAAGGTTTATTTATTTATTTATACAAGCACTGGGTACAGTCAGAATGCGGGAGGGTGAGAGAATTCACCAGAGCGGGGAGCAGAGCAGGCAGAAGGACCGAAGGACACTGCTGAGGGGAGCAGCGGGCAGCAGGAGAGGTCTGCGCGCCATGTGGGACCCTCCTCCGGCGGCCGGGGATCGAACCGGTGCTGCAGAGGCTGCGGGCAGCTTTGCAACCCAGCGCTCAACCGCTGCGCTACCAGGGAGGCCCTGATTTTTTAATAATATTTGATTTCTCCCCTCCAGTGTAGTCTCCATAGTTCTTCTACCACCCTGGCCCCTTGACCACAGTCCCTTGGGCTCTTCCCTCCCCAGTTTTGACCCCTCTCCCTCCCTTTCCCCTGCTGAATGCCTCAAATCTATGGTCAGCTTGCAAGTTTTGTCTTTTTTCTTCACCCTTTGTTCAGTTTATCTATATTCCACATAAAAGTGAAACCATCTGACATTTATTTTTCTCCTTTAAAAAAAAAAAAAGATTTATGCTTATAAGAACTGAGGTGTAGGTTAAAGGTGCGGGGTTGGGGGTAGTGAGAGAATTCACCAGAGCCAGAGCAGGGAGCAGAGCAGGCAGAAGGACCGAAGTACACTGCTGAGGGGAGCAGCGGGCAGCAGGAGAGGTCTGCGCGCCATGTGGGACCCTTGCCCGGAGGCCGGGGATCGAACCGGCGCTGCAGAGGCCACAGGCAGCTTCGCAACCCAGCGCTCAACCGCTGCGCCACCAGGGAGGCCCTTGTTTTTTTTTTAATATGGTCCTTTCTCATATATGTGAGGTGGTAGTTCATTGTGACTTTGATTTGCATTTCCCTGATAATAAGTGATGTTGACTGTTTTTTTTTTAGAGATTTTATTTATTTATTTATACAAGCACTGGGTACAGTCAGAAGCGCGGGAGGGTGAGAGAATTCACCAGAGCCAGAGCGGGGAGCAGAGCAGGCAGAAGGACCGAAGTACACTGCTGAGGGGAGCAGCGGGCGGCAGAAGTCTGTGCTCCATGTGGGACCCTCGCCGGCTGCCAGGGATTGAACCGGCGCTGCGGAGGCTGCGGGCAGCTTCGCAGCCCAGCAGTCAAACGCTGCACCACCGGGGAGGCCCTGTTTTTTGTTTTTTTTTTTTAATGCCTGTTGGCCATTTGCATTTCTTCTTTGGAGAAGTGTCCTTTTATCTGTTCTGCCTACTTTTTGATTGGGTTGTTTTTCTTGAGTTGTGTAAGATCTTTGTAGATCTTTGCTATCAGTCCCTTATCAGATGTGTGGTGTACAAATATTTTCTCCCATTCAGTGAATGGTTGATTTCTTCATTTGGTTGCTGTCTCTCTTGCTATTCAGAAGCCTTTTAGTTTAATGTAGTCCCATCTGTTTATAGTCTCCTTTGTTTACCTTGCTTCTAGAGATGAATCCTTAAAGAGGTTTCTGAGGTTTATATCATGGTGTGTTTTGCCTGTTTTCCTCTATATATTTTATGTTTTCAAGTTTTACATCCAAGTATTTATCCATTTTGAGTTGATTTTTGTATATGGTGTGAAGTTAGTGTCTAATTTCATTCTTTTACATGTGGGAGTCCTGTTCTTCCAGCACTGTTGAAGAGACTTTCCTTGTTCCAGTGTTTGCTCCATTTTCATAGATTAG